GTATTGCTATAACCTTGGACTGTTGTGTTTTCATTTTCATTTGTCTCCTTGTATTTTTTTATTTCCTCTTTGATTTCTTGGTTGACCCATTCATTGTTTCATAGCATGTTTTCACCTCCACTTATTTGTGTTCTTCACAATTTTTTCTTGTTATTGACTTCTAGTTTCATACTGTCGTGGTCAGAAGAGATGCATGAGGGGCGCCTGGGTGGCTCAGTCCTTAAGCGTCTGCCTTCGGCTCGGGTCATGATCCCAGGGTCCTGGGATCAAGCCCCGCATTGGCTCTCTGCTCAGCAGGAAGACTGCTTCTCCCTCTCCCACTCCCCCTGCTTGTGTTCCTTCTCTCACTCTCTCTCTCTGTCAAATAAATAAATAAAATCTTTTTTTTTTTTTAAGATTTTATTTATTTATTTGAGAGAATGAGATAGAACATGAGAGGGGGGAGGGTCAGAGGGAGAAGCAGACTCCCTCCTGAGCAGGGAGCCCAATGCGGGACTCGATCCCGGGACTCCAGGATCATGACCTGAGCCAAAGGCAGTCGCTTAACCAACTGAGCCACCCAGGCGCCCAATAAATAAAATCTTAAAAAAAAAAAAAGATGCATGATGTGATTTCAGTCTTTTTGAATTTATTGAGAAGGTTCAGCTGTTGTGACTACAGTCAAACTGGAATATGTGGCTATCTTCCCCTCTCTCCAAGGCAGGGGTCACTTTGGAATGTTGCTGGTCTCTTCCAGAGCTGCTTGAAGGATGAGACACAACAGGAGCCACTTTGGAGGGACTCCTGCCTAGTTGGGGGGGAAGGGGTTGGATGGGGCCGATCTGCAGGAGAATGCAGGGGCAGGTTGCACGGTGTTAGTAAGGCAGGTAGAGAGTGTTCGTGGGGCTTCCTACAGAAGTCCAGCTATCTCTAGGCTTGGGGAGGAGGTAGGGCAGAGAAACGTCACCAGCTCTTTTGTTCATTGAGCAGTCTCCTAAAGATCCCTGCCCCTCCAGCACCAGTTCTGAGATAAGTAAATAAATCTCTTTTGTGAATACCCCAGGTGTTTTTCAAACTACTGCTTCTATGCTGTATCTTGGTAGGTTGTTTGTTATGCAGTTTCTTTAAGGGGGAGGGGGGCGGTTAGTTTCCTATTGCCCACTGGCTCTGCCAGAGGCAAGTTCACTGATTTTTAAAGTACCTGGAGTTAAGCCCTGCTGGTTGTAAAACAAAACAAAAACAAAAACAACAAAACAAAACCCTTAAGTCTCACTGGTTTTCAAAGCCAAGTAGTATGGGGACTTATCTTCTCAATGCAGGTCCTCTGTGCCTGGGTGCCTGGGGTGGGGTCTGCTTCTCTCCCTGCCCTGTGCTTGTGGTGTCTATTCCTCCTGTTTGTGACTATTCTTGCTGGGAGTTTGGTTTCTGACCACATCCACACCCCTCCTTTTCGATATGGCCTCCTTTCTATGATTAGCTATGGAAAGTCTGTTCTGCCAGTCTTTTGGTCATTTTCTAGGCTGGGTGTACTGATGTGGCTGTTACTAGACGTGTCTGTGGGAAGAGGTGAGCTTAGCATCCTCCTACTCTGCCATCTTCTCAGCAATGGTTTAATTATCGTTCAGTATGTACTACTGTCATTTTATTAATTGTTTTCTGGCTATTTTTGTAGTTTCCCCCTCATTCCTTTCTTTTCCTTTTTCTCTTTCCTCTTGTGGTTTGATGACTTTCTTTAGTGTTCTGTTTAGATTCCTTTCTCATTTTCTTTTGTGTATTTGTGATAGGTTTTTGCTTTGTGATTAGCATGAGGTTCACATATATCATCCTAGGTATATAATGATCTATTTTAAGGTATGGTAACATATTTGAACACACCCCAAAACTCTAGATTTTTACTCCCCTCCCCCAAATTTTATGTTTCGATGTCACTTTTTTTTTTTTAAAGATTTTATTTATTTATTTGACAGAGACACAGCAAGAGCAGGAACACAAGCATGGGGAGTGGGAGAGGGAGAAGCAGGCTTCCTGTGGAGCAGGGAGCCCGACGTGGGGCTCGATCCCAGGACCCTGGATCATGACCTGAGCCAAAGGCAGATGCTTAATGACTAAGCCACCCAGGCGCCCATTTTGATGTCACTTTTTACATCCTTTTAAATGTATCCCTTAAGTAATTATTGTAATTTTAGTTGATTTAATTAATTTTGTCTTTTAACATATTAGTAGCTTTAAAGTGATTAACCCACTATCTTTACTATTTACCTTTGCCAGTGAGATTTTTATCTTAATATGTTTTCCTGTTATTAAATAATGCCATTTCTTTTCAGCTTAAAGAAATCCTTTTAATATTTCTTATAAGGTTGGTTTAGTAGTGATGAATCTTTTAGTTTTTTATTTTGTTTTTTTTAAAGATTTTATTTATTTATTTATTTTAGAAGTGGGGAGCAGAGGGAGAGGGAGAATCTCAAGCAGACTTGGCACTGAGCACGGAGCCTGACGCAGGGCTCACTCAATCTCATGACCCTGAGATTATGACCTGAGCCTAAATCAAGAGTCTGACACTTAACCAACTGAGCCACCTAGGTGCCCCATATTTTTTATTTTCTGGAAAACTCTTGATTTCTCCTTGAAGTCTAAATGATAACCTTGCTGGGTAGAGCATTCTGGGTTGTACAGTTTTTCCTTTAATACTTTGACTGTCATGCCACTTTCTTCTGGCTTGCAAAGTTTCTGCTGAGAAATCTTCTCATACCTTATAGGGTTTTCTTTGTATGTAAAAAAATGTTCTCTTGCTGCTTTAATTTTTGACATTTTAATTATATCTTTTTAAAAAATTTTTTATTTGAGAGAGAACAAGCAGTGGGGAGGGGCAGAGGGAGGGAGAGAGAGAGGGAAGCAGACTCCCTGCTGAGCAGGAAGCCCAATGTGGGGCTTGATCCCAGGACCCAGAGATCATGACCTGAGCCAAAGGCAGACCCTTAACCAACTGAGCCACCCAGGCATCTCGAATGTGTCTTTTTTTAAATTATAATGTGGCTCTCTTTGGTTCATCTTATTTGGAATTCTCTGGGCTTCCTAGACCTGGTTGTCTGTTTCCCTAAGTTAGGGAAGTTTTCATACATTATTTCTTTAAATAGTTTTCTGCCCCTTTTTCTCTCTCTTCTCCCTCTGGAACCCCTGTAATGTGAATGTTATTTTCCTTAATGTTTTTCCACAGATCCCTTAAACTATCTTCACTTTTTAAAAAATTCTTTTTTCACAGGGCACCTGGGTGGCACAGTGGGTTAAGCATCCAACTCTTGGTTTTAGCTCAGGTTGTAACCTCAGGGTCATGAGATTGAGCCCTCTCCGTGCTCAGTGAGGAGTCTGCTGGGGATGTTCTCTCCCTCTGCCCTTCCCCACTGCACTCATGCATTCTCTTTCTCTCTAAAATAAATAAATCCTTTAAAAAAATTGAAAATTCTTTTTTTCTTTTTGCTGCTGTTTGACTCTCCATGTTTGTTTCTATGTATTAATCAAAACAGCTACTTCTCTCGGCCTTGAAGGAGGGCCCTTGTGTGATGATGATCCTTCTTGTTCAACCTTGTTCAAGCTCCTGGTTGTCTCTTGAACCTATGTAATTGTCTAAACCACCTATTTATTCTTGATATGTGCCTATTGTTGAGAGTATGTCAAGACCTGACAATGATCCAAGAAAAGGAATCTTAGCACCCAGTTTTAGGCTGATCAGAAGCCAGACCTCAGGCAGCAGCTTTTAAAATATACAAATATGTAGAGTCTTGTGGGGCAATTGTAATTCCTGTTCGCCTCCAGACTAAGAGATCCAGAAGTGTCTCTAGGGCGACAGTTGCAAAAAACTGGGGCTTCAGACAAGTGTATAATTTCCTTTCTGAGAATTCTCACTTGCTGTAGCAAGGCTGAGGGCTGTGCAAGGATGGTATCTCCCTGATAGTGCCTTCTTAGCCTCCAGATGTATGGGAATCCTTCAGCCTGTCCCTGAGGTTGAAGCTCTAGGCTAAGTAAATAGACCTTTTTTTTCCCTAAAGATTTTATTTATTTTTTGACAGAGAGACACAGCGAGAGAGGGAACACAAACAGGGGGAGTGGGAGAGGGAGAAGCAGGCTTCCCGCTGAGCAGGGAGCCCGATGCGAGGCTTGATCCCAGGACCCTGGGATCACGACATGAGCCGAAGGCAGACGCTTAATGACTGAGCCACCCAGGCACCCTGTAAATAGGCCTTTTTTATAGGAAGACTGGAGTTGTGTTTCAGTTTGCTGTCTGTGCAGTGCCCTGGGGGTGGTGGACTGCCAACAACTGTCTTTCTAATTCTAATAGTCCTGTGGAGCTCCGGGATACCAGCCATCTCAGCCACCAGGGTCACGCAATCAAGGGGCATCCCCTTATGTGGTTTTAGTAAGCCTGTGGGCTTTAGTGAGGCAGCTGGAGATGTAGGGGATGGGCCATACTTGCTGGCTTCAGAAAGGCAGAGGGAAAATACCTTTACTCTGTGTCACCCTGGGTTTCAGCAGTGTAGCAGGAGAGTGCCTTGTCTGTACATTTGTGCCAACTTTAGGCTGGGAGTGGGAGACCATTGCAACTGCTGGCATTCTCTGGCATCAGCAGTGCCAGGACCCTCTAGGCATCCTCCAGCCGATGCCTCCATATTAGCATGTGAATCTCTCTCACACATTGTCTAGGTGCTTTTCAACTGCTGGTTTTTTCCACTGGGTCTAGAGTGAGTGAAGCTGCATGTCAGCCCTCAGTTTCCTCTAGCAATTTGGGACCCAAGAAATCAGTCCCATTGGCTTTCCAAGCCAGATGTTCTGGGGACTCAACTTTCTGGGGTGCCCAATGTGGGGCACCAACCCCTCACTCCTCCAGATCCCACCCTCTTGTGGGTCACCACACTGGGGGGGTGGTTTTTTGTTTTTGTTTTTTTCTAACCATGCCTCTGCTTCTCTTACCCATCTTGATGTGGTCCTTCTATTCTTTGTTGTAGACAGCAGTTCATCTGTTTTTTCAGATCTTTTTCAGAAGGAAGTGATTCATATGTAGCTGTAGATTTGGTGTGTCCATGTGAGGAGGTGAGTTCAGGATCTTCCTATGCCGCCATCTTGGACCTCCCTCTAACTTATTTAAAAACTGATGCTCAATTCAGTTTTTGAAAAATTTTAAATATGTTTGGAACAATTTGAATATGTGAAAATACTTTTTTAACTGTAAACTTTTGGAAATTTACATACAATTAACTTTTCATGTACTTCCACTGAAAATTTAGCCTCCAAATTGAGATGTGTTGTAAATTTAAAATATACTCTAGAAATTTTGGGGGGAAAAGCATAAAATATCTTGATAATTTTTTTATGTTGATTACATGTTGAAATGGTAATATGTGGATATATTAGGGTAAACAAAGTATATTGTTAAAATTCACATGTTGCTTTTTACTTTTTTTAATGTGGCATCAGAAAATTTAAAATTACACATGTGGCTTGAATTACGTTTCCCTTCTCTCTTCCTTTTCGAGGACAGGCTGGGGGTGGAAGTGTAACCTGAGTTTGTCCAACCAAATGCTCCTCGGAGCCCAAGCACGTACGGCAAGGACAGAGAAACGGTGGGTAGCCTGGAGGAAGGTAAGCCATGGCAGGGGTTGCTTCTCCTATGTGTGTCTTGGCAAGATCCTCAGACTTCTTAGTCTTCCACGTCCACACCCACCTAACAAATTCCCTTTTGCTTGCGTTAGCCAGTCTTTTTCTGGTGTTTACAGCCAAACACCCTAACATACCTGATCAGGAAGTGAGTCTCTACCCTCGACCCCTTGTTTCACACAAATCCCTGGTATACCTTGTTACCACTGAAGTCACACAGTCGCTGGGGCAGCTGAGTCTCTCTATCAAGCTCCTCAGGGGATTCTGATGCTCAGCTAGGGTTGAGAAGCTTAGCTTTAGATCTTTTAAGCATCCGTATGGCTGGTGAGCAAACATGAGCCTATGCTATCACACTTCTGATATAGAGGTTAAACAAACTTCCTGGGATCCCCGCTCTCCTGCAGCTGGAAGAATTCCATGCATTCAACAAATATTTATTGAGGATCTATTATGCATGCTTCAAGCACTGTCCTATATACCAAGGGTAGAGCAGTGAGCAAAACAAAAATCTCTCTCTGCTAAAGCATACCTTTTCGTGGGGGAAAAGGGGCAATAAGCCAAGTAAAAATATATATATATAGATATATATATAGTATGTTACATGGTGACAGTTCTAAGAACAAAACTAAACCGGGGATGGGGGTAAGCTGAGAGAGAGATAGATAGTTAGAAGGGCATAGAAATTTTCATGGGATGATCACAGAAGGAAAACCTAGAATGTCACATTTTCAGGAAAGGAGCAAGCCTTGAGAATATGGGGTGGGGAAAGAGTTTTCTAGGCAAACAGAAAAGCAAGTGCAGAGAGCTTGAGGTAGGACCTTGGACTTGAAGTTGGCATAAAGTTCCTTGATTAGGCCACTCCTAACTTGTGAGGGTGAAGGCTGCTCAGGGCTTCTGCATGCTGGAAGCTGCCACTGAGGAGAAGTGTTGGGCAGAACTAGGTCATCCTGAAGGGTGAAAGGAAGGGGATGGTGGGGTCAGAGTTCTGTGCATGGAGTTGGGGAGACTGTTGCCTTAATGACTTCTACAGCCTTGTATAGCTTGGTGTGTCATTTTGGAATTTGTGTTCACTCTTGTCAACTTAAAGAATCTCAAGAGGATTAGGAAATGGAGTAAGTAGCTTCTAGACCAGATACCACCTGTGGCCAGAGCCCTGCCCTACTATACCCAGAGTACTCCTTGCTAAAGAGGGAATCTCAGACTCTCATTGAAGGTGCTATGCATGTTTTCAACCAGGTGACTGGGAGCTAGGATCTTCTTTGATCCCTAGCCAGGAACACCTTTTTTCTAGGGTACCATCTAATCCTGGCCAGCACATGGAGATGGGGACTTGAGGCCCACCCCTGGACTGACCATATGTGTTTAGGGACAGATAGCCTGTTAATAGTTTTGATTTTTTTTTTCCCTTAATGCGTGCAAAGAATCAAAAGTAAAATTAGAGTAGCCTAATTTCCCAGGAGTAGGTGGGGAACTCTCCTTCCTACACAGGGAGAAAAGTTTTGAAAGGAGAGCCTCAGCCTGCTGGGATGAGAAAAGCCAGGAAGCCTCTCTTGCACATTCCATCCTCATGAGAAGACCCTATTTTAATAAGAAACAAATACTTCTAATTTAAGAAAAAAAAATCTGGGATACTGGAGAAACAGCAGAAGACCAATGTGGTTGATTGGGGTAAGGAAAAAGAATGGTAGAAACTGAAGTCAGAGGTAAGGCGTTGGGGGAAAGAGGCATCTGCAATCTCCACCTTCACCCATTTTGAAAAAGTGAAACAGTTGTCATTGGGGTGGTGGCAGCCATCAGCCCAGCAGGGAAGGAGTGCTGCTGAAATGCTATCCTGAGAGGCAGCACTCCAGGATAATCATCACCCTTTGTACACACGTTTTCAGTGAAGATAAGGCAGAGAAAAGCCCTTGTTTTGCAGAGCTTATCACACCACACACTTATACTAGAATGTGTGTGGATTTTCTTCATGATAAACACATAATGAGAGATATTGAAAAAAAGAGAAAGAAAAATATTGAGGTTGGGTCACAAACCCTAAATGCTCTTTGCCCTGAATTAGGTGAGGACATTTCCCAGAATCCTGTTTATTTGGAAACTTGGAAATTCTAGTGATCACCAACAGTGGTTTTATTTTTCTTAGGAGTCCTGACCTCCCTTTGTATGGAGAGCTGGTCACAGCACTCTGGCTGATTAGATTGGATTGGAAAGCAGGAAAATTTCAAAAGTGTGTGCATTCCCCTGGATTGTTAAATACTCACAAACATTTCATTACCTGGTTTGCCCAAACTGCTGTGCACCTCCCACCGCTGGGGCACCCAAGTCCTCTTCAGCTACCCGTAACCCATTCTAGGTCTCTGTTCATGCGCCGGAGCTTAAGCTTCTGCTCTGATCCATCTGCAGGCCTATATGTAAATGCTTTGCCCCCTCACCAGTGGCATATCAGGGGTCATCCATGCCCATCCATCCAATTCATCCCATCCATCCATCCATCCATCCATCCTTTTTTTGAGTGCTTACTAGAGGCCAGGCGTGGTTCCAAGGACTGAGGAGAACCCCAGTACACAAAATAGGTGAAGTAAGTGACTATAGGAAGGGAAAAGTGGTGCTTACATGATAGTGAGCAGACCATAAATACGTAGATAGGAAATATGCCAGGTGTTAAGTACTGTGAGAAGAGAATGGCAGATACAGAGGTGGAGAATGACAGAACATGTGGTGCTAATTTAGAGCAAGTAGTCAAGAAAGGAGTCTTTGCTAAGGTGACTTGTGAGCAGGCATCTGGAAATCTCAGGGGCTGAGATTTCTGCAGAGAAAACAGTATATAGAAGCAAGCCTCAGAGGCCTGGCTGGGGTTGCATGTTGGAACAGCAGACAGGAAGCCATGATGAAGGGAGGGAGCCCGGGGATGAGCTCAGATGGTGTCAGGGGACAAGCTCAGATGGAACCTTGTTGGCCATGACAAGGACTCTGGATTTTATTCTAAATGAGATGCAAAGCCACTGAAACATTTTGAGAGGGTCACACTGACTGCTGTGAGAACAATCTAGAAGCCCAATCAGACTACCATGGTGATTCAGGCAAAAGAAATGGTGGAAAAGACTTGCAACAGACAAACACTGGCCCAAAGTGCTAACAGGAGGGCCCATTGATTGGTCTGCACCCCCTGTACTCTGCTCCTTGGGAAGGGATCATCAAATGCCCATGAAAGAAGCCTGGCCAAAGCTAGCTTGATTGAAAGAGGGCATTTGTCCATAGCAGACATTTTCTTAAATACATTTCACCTTATAATATCATTTATTTAAGACCTTTACTAATTTAAATCCCTTCAGAAGCCTAGGTAAAAAGTGCCTTCCTTCTGAACTTCCCAGAATCTATTGTAGCTTAATTCATGAAACGATGAGAAAAGTTTTTTTTTTTTTGCAAGCCTTATGCAACTTTTCTATTAAAATACTTAAATGCTGGAGTGCCTGGGTGGCTCAGTCGGATAAGTGTCTGCCTTAGGCTCGGGTCATGATCTTAGGGTCCTGGGATCGGGCTCCCTGCTCAGTGGGGAGCCTACTTCTCCCTCACCCTCTGCGCCTCCCCCCTGCTCGTGCTTTCTCTCAAATAAATGAAATCTTAAAAAAAAAATACTTAAATGCTTACCCAAGGCAATCTAGACATTTAATACAATCCCTATCAAAATACCACCAGCATTTTTTACAGAGCTAGAACAATCCTAAAATTTGTATGGAACCACAAAAGACCCCAAATAGCCAAAGCAATCTTGAAAAAGAAAAGTAAAGCTGGAGGCATTACAATCCTGGACTTCAAGCTCTATTACAAAGCTATAATCATCAAGACAGTACGGTACTGGCACAAAAACAGACACATAGATCAGTGGAACAGAATAGAAAACCCAGAAATGAACCCACAACTCTATGGTCAATTAATCTTCAACAAAGCAGCAAGGAATATCCAATGCAAAAGACAGTCTCAAATGGTGTTGGGAAAACTGGACAGCAACATGCAGAAGAATGAAACTGGACCACTTGCTTATGCCATACACAAAAATAAATTCAAAATGGATAAAAGACCTAAACGTGAGACAGGAAACCTTCTAAATCCTAGAGGAGAACACAGGCAGCAATCTCTTCGTCCTCAGCCACAGCAACTTCTTACTAGACACGTTTCCAGAGGAAGGGAAACAAAAGCAAAAGTCAACCATTGGGACTTCATCAAGATAAAAAGCTTCTGCACAGCAAAGGAAACAACAAAACTAAAAGACAAATCTATGGAATGGGAGAAGATACTTGCAAATGATATACTGGATAAATGGATAGCATCCAAAACCTATAAAGACTTATCAAACTCAACATCCAAGAAATAATCTAGTTAAGAAACAGGCAGAAGACATGAACAGACATTTTTCCAAAGGAGACACATGGCTAACAGACACATGAAAAGTGCTCAACATCACTCGGCATCAGGGAAATCCAAATCAAAACCTCAATGAGATATCACCTCACACCAGTCAGAATGGATAAAATCAACAACACAGGAAACAACAGACGTTGGTGAGGATACGGAGAAAGAGGAACCCTCCTACACTGTTGGTGGGAACGCAAGCTGGTGCAGCCACTCTGGAAAACAGTATGGAGGTTCCTCAAAAAGTTGAAAATAGAGCTACCCTACGACCCAGCAATTATGACCCAGCAATTGCACTACTAGGTATTTATCCAAAGGATACAAAAATACAGATTCAAAGGGGCACACACACTCTGGTGTTTATAGTAGCATTATCAACAATAGCCAAATGAATTATGGAAAGAGCCCAAATGTCTGTCAACTGATGAATGGATAAAGAAGAAGTGGTATGTGTATATAATGGAATACTACTCAGCCATCAAAAAGAATGAAATCTTGCCATTTGCAATGACATAGATGGATCTAGAGAGCATTATGCTAAGCAAAACAAGTCAGAGAAAGATAAATGCCATATGATCTCACTTGTAGAATTTAAGAAACAACACAGATGAACATAGGGGAAGGTGGAAAAAAAGAGGGCAGCAAACCATAAGAGACTCTTTAGGATTGAGAACAAACGGAGGATGATGGAGGGTGGTGGGTGGGGGATGGGGTAACTGGGTGATGGGCATTAAGGAGGGCACTTGTTGTGATGAGCACTGGGTGTTATATATAAATGATGAATCAGTACATTCTACTCCTGAAACCAGTATTACACCATATGTTAACTAGAATTTATTTTTTTACTAACTAGAATTTAAATGAAAACCTGAAATAAAAATAATTGAAAAAAATAATAAAATACTTAAATGCTGCCAAGGACTTTGCTGCTTTTCACGTGCTCTGGTTCTCCTGGACAAAAAATGGGCATGCCTAGGACATGTAAGTAGACCACAGTTCGGGAAGAGCTGGGGTGATGCGGACTTGGGGGAAGCCTCTGTAAATAATCGCAGGTTGATGAGGCAATCTACTCCTTCATGGTTATACTTTCTGCTGTATGTTTCCAACGTTAAAATATCAACTCTCAAAGAGATCCTTAACTGGCTACACCCCGGGACAAGCACTGCCACAACTTCCACGACCGCTTTTGTTGGAAGCCTCCTGGGAACTTCCCTGCCAGGCTGTCACGGGCCCGTCCTCCCTGCTGCTGACCACATGCAAATCCTGGCGAGGTCTTGCTGGGTAAAGCACTGACTGGTGAGCTCTCCTTCTTCCTGCCCTCCTGCCAGGTGGTTATTATAGAGGGCAACTTGTCCTTTCGGAACCAGGGAGCACGGCAAGCCGTGACTCCCGGGGACAGCCTGACGACATCCTAGAAATGGCTCTGAGCTCCCACACTTAGAGTCAGTCCATTCGTTCACCGTGGCTGAGGCAAAGCATCCCTTGATTTTTTCATTCTTTGGAGACTGGAATTTTCTTTTCTTTTTTTTTTTTAAAGATTTTATTTATTTATTTGACAGAGAGAGACACAGCGAGAGAGGGAACACAAGCAGGGGGAGTGGGAGAGGGAGAAGCAGACTCCCTGCCGAGCAGGGAGCCCGGTGCGGGACTCGATCCAGGGACTCCAGGATCATGACCTGAGCCGAAGGCAGTCGCTTAACCAACTGAGCCACCCAGGCGCCCTGGAATTTTCTTTTCAAAACAACTTACTTTTCTTTATAATGTTGTTTCTAAATAAATGAAAGGTAGGGCAGAGAAGTGAGTATCGGCCACATGGAGTGACTTGCCTTAGGGATGGCTGTGTTTATGTCAGACATAGATAAAAATAGATGAAATAAGTCAACCAGCAATTTAGCCGGTTTTCCTCAAAGGCACAGGAAAAAATTATCACAAAATTGTAAGTACCACACATAACCTTTAATTTTAATTGTTCAGAAACAATCCTGATTTCTTCTAAGTCACAACTTTTAAAACTAGAAATAAGGTTCGATAGCTTGGGTTATAAGATTTGATCTGCTTCAAATGAGGATACCTTATAAAAATATTGTGGTTCAGAAATACCTGAGTGCTTCTACATGGCTTCAGTGATTGTCACAATAAACCCTCAGTAGGTAAGGGTCCTCTAGATTTAATAGTTAATCCCAGGGTACAGAAAGAAAAATGAGATGCAGAGAGGTTAAGGATCAAAGGCAAATTTAGGAGTTTAGGAGGCCCATGTGACATGCAGGAATCAGAACCCAGGTTCTGTCCCAGGACGCTGAGATCATGTCCTGAGCTGAAGGCAGACACTTAACCAACTGAGCCACCCAGGCGCCCCTAAAACTAAAATCTTAAAAAAAATATTTTTTGCTAAAAAAAAAATATGCTAACCATCACCTGAACTTTCAGTGAGTCACAGTCTTCTTGCTGGTGGAGAGTCTTGCCTCGGTGTTGATGGCTGCTCACTGACCAGGGTGGTGGTTGCCGAAGGCTGGCCTGGCTGGGGCAATTTTTAAAAATAAGACAAGGAAGTTTGCTGCACAAATGGACTCTTCCTCATGAACTATTTCTCTGTGATGCTATTTGATAGCATTTTACCCACAGCAGAACTTCTTTCAAAATTGGAGTCAAACCTCTGAAATCCTGCCACTGCTTTATCAACTAAGTTTATATCATATTCTAAATCTCTGTCATTTCAACAATCTTTACAGCATCTTCCCCAGGAGTTGATTCTACCTCAAGAAACGACTTTCTGTGCTCATCCATAAGATGTGACTCCTCATCCGTTCAAGTTTTATCATGAGATTGCAGCAATTCAAAATAATAATAATGAACAAGTTTGAAATAGTGCAAGGATTACCAAAATGTGACACAGAGATATGAAGTGAGCAAATGCTGTTGGAAAAATGGTGCTGAGTTGCTTGATGCAGAGTTGCCATAAACCTTTGATTTGTAAGAAGTGCAAAAAGTGAAGCACAATAAAACAAGGTATGCCTTACATCCACATTTTATCATTTCCATATATAATCACTACTTAAAAAGTATTAATGAGATATTTTACCTTTTTCTCACACTAAGTCTTCAAAATTTGGTATGTATTTCACACTTACTTTGTTTCTTAATTTGGATGCTAAATTTCCAGCCAAAATACTTGCTCCATATTTAGATTTCATAAAATTTACATTTGAAAAAGTCAATTCATATACCCAAGTTATTGAGAGCATACTTAAAAGCTTTCTAGTAACTGAGTTAAGAATCGATATTAAAATTTTAAACAATCAAAAGTTCTTCAGTTGCACTAGGTACAGTTAAAGTGCTCAAGAGTCACATGTGGCCAGTGGCCATTATATTGGGCAGCACTGATTTAAAGAGCCACAGGATGTTTGCTTAGGGTGTTGATACTAACGGGATGGCATTCAGAACAGATGGACTGTAATCTCTTCTCAAAACTAAATAACTTTCTTGTAGCTTAAACTATCCACTGTTTTCATCAACATATTATACATAATTAAAAACCTTCCTAATTATGTTTTCTAGTAAACTTCAAACTGCATTCAGACTTTATGTATAAATGCTTCCTGTTGAATTATGAAGAGGTTTATATGAATTCTAAAATGATTCAGTCAGTCATGCACCTTTCTCCAGTGCAAACACTGTGGTACTACAAAGTGTTAAGCCACCCCGTACAGCCAGTGTTAGAAAGGACATCCTGCTATATTTTTTACAGAGCAATAACTCCTTGAATATTTATTTAAATGGAACAGATCCTGGGAATCAAAAAGTGAAAATATTTTTATGCCTATGCTTTAGCTCTCCAGTTTACTTCATTATTTCTTTACAGGTTGAATGTTTTAAAAATAAAGGCTAAACACATAGGTAATAGACTGAATGATGGCAGCTATAGAATTTTGTATTTAACTTAAACCTTTGTGACCCTTGAAATTATAAAACCCAGTGATCAAAATAGATGCTCAAATGTTTACTGAAAATGAGTAATTAATCCTGTGCTCAAACTGGTGCAAATGCTAGAGCCCGTGAAGTGTGTGTAAAGGTGTGCCTCCTACACCTTGGACCTCACGCCTCCGGCTTGGTCCCGCAGCTCCATCGCTGCGATTGCGGAGAGGTGCACTTCATCGGGCCCATCTGCTAAGCGCAGAGTCCGCGTTAGGGCATACCTGGAAAAACAAAAGGAGCAGGAATGGCAGGAGTTATCAACGACGAACATACTTTAACGTCAGTCCCTCTGACTCTAAGCCAAGGCTATTCATTTTTGAAATCTTGCCAAGGCAGCTTATCACTGCCTTGAAAGTAATCAAAGAGAATCAAGGAAAGTAAGTCCAAGGGCACGTGAAATGCCACCAAAAGTTCTCACTTTGGGGAGAGGAATCTTAAATGGCTCAGTGCAATGGGCTTAATCTCAGTCTTGGTTTGCTTTAGGGTTCTAGAAGTTGCTAGAACTAAGAGAGATCTTAGGTAAGCCACAGGGAGTGAAGTATAAATATGTAATACTTATATACTATACATATTTAGTACTAGATATTTAGTTCTTATGGTTAAAAATTGATGGGAAAACTGGTGGGGCACCAGACTCCTGTTTCCAGTGTGGGAGAGAAGGTGGCAGGGGTACTGTGTGGTGACGGGCACTGCAGAGTGTTCCTTGACTCCCAGCAACCAGAATCTGGACAGGAGATGGTCACTGGCCTGAGGCATCCCTGTGGAGGTGGCAAACAGTCCTAAGGACATACCCAAGCCTGGCTCTGGGTGCCCTCTGCCATCTGTGCTCCTGCATGATCATTCTGGTTTCAGGGTGAACCCCCAGTGCCATTTCCTCACTAGCTCATGAACCCCAATGGACCCCCTCGGTGTAAAAGTTGACATCATTGAGCGAAATGATAACTGTAATCATAAGAGCAACTATTTATTGGTGCTGGGTACCTGTATTACCTCATTTAGCCTTGAATTGTACTTTTAGTATCTTTCTTTCCTTGTGAAACAATTAGGGTCAAGGCAGCTGTAGATTTTTAATTCCATTCCAAGCCTGTCAAATGTAGATGATTACTAAATGACATCTACTTACATGTTAGCCAGAGGGTAATCCTGGGAAACACCTGCACCTCCACACACTTGGATCGCCCGGTCAATAATTTTGCAGACGGCCCGAGGGGTGGCCACTTTAATCATTGCAATCTACATTAGCAAGATATAAAAAGAATGTTCCTTTCTTAGACAATACACAATGTGGCAGAATTTGATATAATCTGTATTTTCTTTGTGAAATGAGACCAGGGAACTTTCCCACATGAATTCATCACTCAAACAGGATCTTTGATGGAAGCCAACAAAGAGACCCGTTGTAATGAGGCTAATAATGGCCATATTTCAGTCAATATAGACATTCTGGAAAGAGATATCTCTTCCAAATCATATTTTATTATTTATGACTTGCCTTGTTTCCAAAAGGATTTAAGGCGGCTGATAAATCACATTCATCACCTTAGGGAAAATAAAAAGAATTCAAGAGCCTTCATTAATCAGTTTTCTCTTAGCAATTTTTATTGGTTTTTAGAATTAAATGATTACAATCTTACTCCATATAAGCCAGAAACATAAAAAGATAGGAGATGAGAGGCATCTTTTACGAAGCATTTATACTACATGGTAGCAAGGTCAGATACTTTGCCCAGGGCCACATGGCAGAAAGTGACATAGTGGGTATAATTCCAAGTCTGTATAGTCTTGAATTTCCCTCCTCCCTGTTGCTGCATCTTGAGAATGCTGAAGATATTCTATATCCTGAAAATCATTCCCTAAAGCAGGCAAGTGAAAGGAAACTAGCAAGTGACATATATTTATAATCTTGAAACCAAAATCACAGAAATTGTTTTCAATATTCTGAGTGCCATCAAGGCACCACGAAACCTGAAATGCCCAGTGGGTGAAAGAAACTGAAGAAGGCTTGGCAGACAGTGGTCCAAGGGGCCTCACCTCCTTCCTAGTGCCAGCACAGCCCAGGGTGTCAATGCCGTGCGCGGCTTTCAGGATCAACAAACGTATCTTCTCAATGGCAATGCGGCTTTCAGCAATCCAGTGAGCCACAACCTCCTACAGGGAAGCAAAGAGCAGCAAAAAGGAGGAGTGGCTAAGCTGGCATGAGTCCACATCTAACACGACCTTGTAGCTTGGTGAAACACTCTAGGCCAAGGACTGTTCCTAAGCCTTACTCTGTTTTTTAATGGAAGAGTTAATTCATTTGATATATACCAGCCAACCACGTACTTGTGCAATGCTAAAGTTAACACTGCCAGACTTTAGAAAGACATTTTATTTGCTCAGAAAAATAATTTATTTTGGATATCTTGATGTCTGACAGTCAAGATGGCTGAACTGAGCAACCATCTTATTGCTCTAACATTCCTCACTGGCCCTCCTAAATGCTAATCTCATAGTCTCATTGAAACTTGGATAAATGTCTGATGGTGAACTTGCTTATAGACAATTGAGATGACCCCCAGGACAATGTCAGTGTGGGGAAGGTGCAGCAGTCCTTTGTTGTGTTATTATTTAGCAACAATGACCTTTACCTTTGGTGAACAGTTCTATGAATTGTGCCACATGTATAGATTGCTGTAACCACAATCAAGATACAGAACAGTTCCATCTCCCCTTAGAGCTGCTGCCCCTTTTTAGTCACACCCTCCCCAACCCCTAAACTCTCACAACCACTGATGGGTTATCAATCACTATAGTTTTTGCCTTTTTCAGAATGTCATATAAATGGAATCATGTAGTATGTATTTAGAGACTGGCTTCTTTCAGCATAATTCATTTGAGTATCACTGACCAAGCTGTTCTGTGTACCAACTGTCCATTTTTATCAATGAGTAATATTCCATTGTAAGGATGTACCAGTTTATTTATCCATTCACCTGCTGAAGGATATTTGGGTGGTTTTTAGTTTTTGGTGATTATTAACAGAGCTTCTGTAATCATGTGCATACAAGTTTTTGTATGACTATACTTTTCATTTTTTAAAGCAGCTGTGGGGAATGGAATTACTAGATCATCTGGTAAATGCTTATAAGAAACTGTGAGTTTTCCAGACCAACTGTACCATTTTGCATTCCCATCAGTATTGTGTAATAGTTTCAACTGCTCTCCAAACCATTGGCACTTGGTACTGTATTTTTTTTTTTTTTATGTATTAGTCATTTTAACAGTATGCAGAGCTATTTCATGGTAGTTTAAATTTGCATTTCCCTATGACTAATGATGTTGATCACCTCTTGATGAGTTTATTTGCCATCTATATATTCTCTTTGGTGACATGTCTGTTCACGTCATTTCCCCACTTTTTAAATTGGATTGTTTTCTTGCTGCTGTTTAGAGAGCTCTTTATTAAGGATACAAGTCAATTGTCACATGGGCAATTTGCAAATATCTTCTCCCAGTCTGTAACATTTTCATTTTCTTAATAGTGACTTTCAAAGAACAAATGTGATTAAATTTAATGATATCCAATTTGTCAACTTTTTCTCTTATGGGTTATGCTTTTGGTGCATGTCTTAAGAACATTTTGCCTAATCTTGTCACAAAGATATATCCCTATTTTTTTTTCCCAAAAGTTTTATAGCTTTACCTTTTACATTTAGATCTATGATTTATTTGGAGTTAAATTTTGTGTGAGGTGTGAGGTTTAGGACAAGGTTCATTTTTTTTTTTTTTTTTTTTTTGCCTATGAACGTCCAACTATTCCAACACCATTTAATATAAAGATTAATCTTTCCCCATTGAACTGGCTTTGTACCTATATAAAAAATTGTTTGACTCATTTTTATGAGTCTATTT